ATATGCGATTGGAGGCCCTCCAAGAGGTGCTTGCGAGCCACTAGTAGCCATTCAGTCCGGAGGTAACATCTGGGAAGTCTTCGTGAAAACGATTAGGGGCTAGCAAGCCCGACGAATGGGCTACTGAGCTGGACTCGCTCAGCTTAGGCCCAGGATTAAGCCCATTAAGCCGGATTGCGCGGGATGGGGCGGAATTAAACGGGATGCCAAGCAATGCTGGTTATAAATGGATATACAGCGCCGATGCTGACTCGAAACCCACCGGAATTGAATAGGGAGGGGGGGGCTGTGGAAGAGCGAGGGACGCAAATCTCGAACGTCCTCACACCAGCGAAGATGCGCTCCTTCTCGATGTTACAGTCTGGAGTCAGATTTGAAGCCCGGGACAGTCAACACATGACTCTGGGTGAATCGATCGCATTAGGACTGTGGATGCCACGACAATGGACACCCTAACAGTCCTATCATTGAGCTTAGAAAGTGTTGTGTTTAACATGTCGGAAATCGGTTCGAAACATGTTTTAAACTTGTGTCTTACATGGTTAGAACATGTTTAACACATGTTATAGACATCTGGAAAGTATTTGGCAGCATGCTTCCTCTCCATTAACCGAATTCCACAACACTCGGAAAAGGCGGTTGGGAGGTCCCAGACCCCAAGGGCTCGGAATGCGCGAGCTGCGCCCCCCGAAGTTCTGGCCCGTCCCCTGGCGGTTGCCCTGGCTTTTCCGCCCTGAGATACAGTCGGACCTCATTGCACAGGACACGCCAGAGGACACGAGACCCTTCCGAGGGCCACCTTGCCGTAGGAATGCAGGGGACACGGGTCGCGAGGCAAGCACGACGGGAGGTTTTTCGCGATTATCGGCTCTGGGGATCGCTTCCCGGGCCTCGGGAGCGTCAAAAAACGACTCAGGATGAGAAACCAGTCTCGGGGAAGGGGTCCACACCTCTGGGGGTTCGACGTTGTCACAAAAATCACGACGTCGGGGGTCTGGGTAAGAACCAACGGTGCCTCTGGTGTGGCAGGGCCGACCTACTACTCCGGGCCGACCGTATGCTTGACGGTCCTGGTGCCCGGCGAGGGCCACCGGAGGCCGAAGCCTGAACGTTCAGTATTGATTGTGTCTGGTCTGTAGAGGTCTGGGTCATCAGGAGGTCTGGAGGGTCGGGGGGAGGGAGGAGGGAAAGGGTCCCTAGACGCAAAAATTGGCTCATCTCCTTCGAAAGACATATATTTTTTACACATTCGCCGTGTGGGCTTTCCGACGCTCCAAGACGGCCCAAGAGGCCCCGAAGTCCGCCCCAAGACACCCCAAAAGAACCCCCCAAGACGGCCATACGACGGCCTAATATGGCCCCAAGACGGCTCAATCAGGAGGTCTGGAGGGCCGGGGGGGAGGCTTTGGGGAAGCCTCGGGGTGCACCGAGGGGTTTGGGGGCGGCTCCGGGCCGTGCTCTGCGCGTGCTGCGGCCCCGGGAGCCCTGCGTGTGGAAGCGGGCGCCTCACGCTCCGCAGCAGCAGGGAGCGGGCCACGGCCCTCCCGGGCGGGCCCTTTCAGACCCCCCACGGCCATGAACGGGCGACCTCTTCGACGGTGCGCACACGGGGGTAGGGGAAGTGGGGCAGGCGCCTTCGAAGGAGGCTGCTTCTCGGAGGGCGCTGGCCCTACATCTATACAGGCCCGCGCCTGCTAACAGGCGGCCTCCTTCTGAGAAGCCCGCCCCCCCTTCCCCAAACCCCACTTTGCGCGCGGCCGGCTCTTGCGCAGACCCCCTGAAAAGCCTGCAGGTCAGCTCACATCAGACAGCCCCCCAGATCAGATCCCCTCCTTTCTAGTGTGAAACCCAGTGCTCCTCATCCATCGCCCCAGACCCAGAACCCAGCGCGCCTCGAACAGCAGAAGTCGAGGCGGCCAGGTTGTCTCCATTCATGGCATCTGGAGGCCTGTCTGTGTCGGGCAGTGCTTGGAGAAAATTTGTGATATCCCCCCCACGTAGCGTCCGTTGCGGGGGGGGGGTCGCTCCCGCGTGGGGGGAAAAGGCAAAGCGGTCGGGCCCCACGGTGGAAGGAGCCAGGCGCCGGACGACGACAACAACAACAAACACGAAGACGACGCCGACGACGACGTCGACGGTAACGACGACGACGATGATGGAGACGGGAACGACGACGGCGACAACGCCGGCGACGACGAGGACGAGAACGAGAGCAAGGACAACGACGACCACGACGACGACGACAAACGACGAAGATGAAGACGACGACAGCGACGACGATGACGACGTCGACGACGAGACCGACGAGGACAAACGACGCCGACGCCGACGACGGCGGCCGCCTCTGGAGGCGTCTGGAGGCCCGTCGAGGCCCTCGACGACGACGACGAGGACGACGACGAAGACGACGACGACAAGGACAAGGACGAGGACGAGGACGACAATGATGACGACGACGATGACGATGACGAAGACGACACATGCGAACGCCGACTACGACGACGACCACGACGACGACAACGACGACGACGACGACGGCGACGACGACGACGACGGCGACATGGGCAACGACAGCGGCGACGATGACGACGAAGACGAGGACCAGGACGGGGACCACGACGACGACAACGACAACGACGACGACGACGACGACGACTGGGCGAGAGCAAGGACGACGGTGACGACGACGACAACGACGACGATGCGGACGACGACGACTACTGCGAGGACGAGGAAGGTGACGACGACGACGACGCCTGCGACGTCGAGGACGAGAACGAGAGCAAGGACGACGACGACCTCGACGACGACGAGGACGAGGACCAGGACGGGGACCAAGACAACGACGACGACAACGAGGGCGAGAGCACAGACGACGACGACGACGTTGACGACGGTAACGACGACGACGGCCGCGACGACGACGATGGCAAGGACGAGGACGGTGACGACGACGACAACTTCGCCAGCGACGACGAGGACGGCGACGATAGCAAGAACGACGATGACCACGAGAACGACAAACGACGAAGACGAAGACGACGACAGCGACGAATACGACGACGACGCCGACGCCGACGACGACAACGACGGCCGCCGCCTCTGAAGGCCACCAGAGGTCTCCAGAGGCCTCAGGCAGTTTCCGAAGCCTTTGGACGCGTCTGAAGGCCCTTCGAGGCCCTCGGAAACGACGACGACAAGGGGACGAGTGCAAGGACGTCGACGGGGACGAGGACAAGGACGACGACGATGTGCGCCTCTGAGGAACTGCAGAGGTCTCCTGAGGCCTCAAGAGATTTCGGGAGGCCTCTGGAAGCGTTTGGAGGTCCTTCGAGGCCCTCGGACACGACGACGACGACGGGAACACAAGATCCCTCCGAGGGCCACATTGCCATCGGACTGTAGAAGGCATGGGCCGCGAAACACGGGACGCAAGGGTACCCGTGATTTGGCAGGGTCAACCTGCTAGTCATGATAAGCAATAAAAGCACTCCTAACACGTTGGGAGGGGACCTAAGTTAGGATGGCCCAACACAGTAGGGATAGGAAGTCTCATCTGCATGTGTATCGAATCAAACCGCCCAGGCTTATTATCTCTAATGCAAAGACGGGGAACCTCAGTGAGGCTACGTCGTCACTGTGTTATTAGGGGTAGGGGTTCTTTTTATCCTCGACGAAAACAGCCTCGACCGTAGTATACACCGGGGGTGCTCCTCAGAGTCCGTAGAGGAGCGGGTGAGTGCCGCGAGGAAGCAGCTGCTTCCGTGGCACCTCCTGGGATCGACGACTGCCGACGTCAAGTCGACGCGAATCGACGCGACTGGGCTGCAGCTAAAAAATATATTTCGTTTTCGTTATGGTTTCGTTTTCCACGTCCTGTCGTCTTTCTGCCTTTGATGCGAGACGAAATCAAAACGACCACAAACCATACAATCGCCAAACCGCCGTCTAGTTCGAGCCCTGCGAGGCAACATCGGCGCTACCTCATCGACTCCCAGAGGCTAACCGACGCCCAAGCACTCTGAAGACAGAATTGCCAGGGTACACAAGGCTCCCATGATGTGCTACCGATCAGCTGCCGAACAGAGGGGCCACTGAAGTGGACGCCCGCCCTGGCCCTTGCGCTGCTGGATGTCGAGTCGGCGCGAGCCTGAGGGATACACGACGCAGGCCGAGCAGATCCGCCGCAGTGCCACCTGGCACGTTGAGGCGTGGCAGAATGCCACGTGCTCTCTGCTGGGGCTCCCGTAAGCCTTCTACTGCCCGACATCCCATCACATGTCCGAGTGTGCACCGGTTCTCTCTCTGAGGCTCTCCAAGGCACGCGGGAGTGTCCAAGACGGCCAAAAGGAAACCACCTACGCGGTCAAAACGGTCCAACATTACCGCAAGACGCACACATGAGTCCTCAAGTAACGCCCAAAAAGTCCCAAGAGTCCTCCAACAGGTCCGATTACACCCCCCAGAGGCTCTCGAGAGGCCAGAAAACATTGATTCTTCAAACGCCTCTCAATGATTTTCGCTGTTCGCGCTCTTCGGTCCGACATTGGTCCACTTGCGGTCCTCGAGAGCTCAAAGCAGCCCACTGAGAGCCCGAGGAGAGCCCCAAGCTTCTACAAGATGGCCTCCTGTGGAAGGCAAGACGGCCTAAGGGAGACCCTGGACTGCCCAAGAATACCCACGACGAGCCCAGACGGCCACGAGCCCCACGATGGCCAAAAGGAGCCACAAGACAGCCCAAGAGGACCCAAGACGACCAAAGAGACCCCAGGGACCCCTCGAGACTGCCCCCCCGCAGCAGCCCACAACAGCTCCAGGACGGCCCAAAGAGGCCCCGCGCGAGCTCCTCGAGAGGTGGCGGCGGGAGGCGCCAGACGTGACGGCCTCCCGTGGTCGGTGCTCCAGGGGTCGCCACGCGGAGCGCTCCGCTGGCACGGCGGCGGGCTGGCCGCAGGCAGCACTGACCTGGGCATCCCTACGGTGGATGCCGAGATGCCGAATTACTGCCCACGTGCACTGCCTACGCTAACGTACATGGCCTGAGCATTCAACCCTGCTGGCGTCGCCGGCGCGCTTGGAGGCCCGTGCACATGGAAGAGGCGGTGGGTCACCCACGGAGGAGGCTGAGGACGAGGACGAGGCGGAGGCCTCGGTATGAGCCCGGCGCGCAAGGATGTCTTCTGCTCATCCTCCCCCTGCCCATCCCCTCCCACGTCGCCCTACGCCTTCTCGTCCTCGTCCCTCCTCTCCCGCCTCCTCATGTTCTTCCTCCCCAGTACCTTCCGTCCCAGCTGTCTATATATCTTGATCTCTCTATATCTCTATCTCTATCTCTCTATCTCTATCTCTCTATTTCGCTCTCGTTCTCGTTTCCTCTGTGTCTCTTCCTCGTTCTCTCTCTCTCTCTCTCGTTCTCTCTCTCTCTCTCTCTTTCTCGCGTGTTGTGTCTTCTCTCCCTCTCTCTCTCTCCTGTAATGCCTCCTTGCTTTCTCGTCCCCCTAAATCTCGTCCAGCTGCCCACCGCCTCCCTCGCCACCGATGATTCCTCTTCGTTCGCCTGCTGAGTTGTTCACTGCAGTCGTTGTCGTCCCCTCCTCAGTCTCCACACGTAACTCTCTATTATTAAAGGGGCCCTAGGACACACAAACAAGTAGACACACATAACAGGATTTCCCATGGTTTCAGATATTTTCTGGGATTTTGTCTTCCCCACCCCCACTTCCCGTATATTCAAATATTCTCTGGGAAACCGACGATTAATCGTGTCTGTGTTTTGCCTTCCTGAATTATCCTTTCCTATGTCCAGTGCATCCGACTGCTTGATGTTATCGAGGCACGATCCACACGCGTCTTCGACCACCTCGCTGGGAACGACTACTGATCCTGAGCCGTTTTGCCGATGGACCCGAGGCCAAAAAACCTGCAAAAGCAAAACACGCCAAACAGGCATGCTGGCTATGCAGTCTCACCAACACTTGGGCGCAGGTGGGCCCGACTTTGGTGTCCAACTGAATGATTCTCGACCGGGGAGAGGTTTACGGGTTTACCCATCTTACCAGCCCCTCCTCTGGGCCGTTCGAGCGTACAAGATTGTCCAAGATGGCTACACGAGGGCATCGGATGGCCCAAGATGGCCTCCAAAATAGCCTCCTAGATGGCCGACGATGACCTCCAACATTCCTCCGAAAGGTGCGAAAACCACCCCAAGACGGCTCTGAGTGACCACGGAGCCTCCCACGGAGACCCCCGAGAGGCCTAGCCATTCAAAAGCCAACGGGCGCCGACTATTGTGAGCCTTCTCCTATTTCCGTTTCCGATGGGCACCTGAGCGACGATCGGCTGTGGACAAACCACCCTTTAGTAAATTTCCCCTGAGTGAAAACGACCTAGGGCCGAACTCGACGGACCTGGACCCGCAAAAATGACAACGGCCAATTCCCTAATCGACGTGTCAGGGTAGGAGGTCTGTCCACCTCCGAGACGATCCAGAAGGGGTCTGACGCGAGATGCCCTAGCCACCTTACGCGGTGGCGTTTAGGAGCCGCCGACGCGGCACGCCACATTGGAGACGAGGGCGCTTGCGCGATACCTTGCGCGGGCAGCTTGCGCACGAATGTCGGCGCATGCGACCCCACGTTTTATCGCATCGCTCAACTGATGTCTCAAGATGGCCCCAAGATCGCTCAAAAGAGCCCTGTAGTCAATCCTTATCATGAGGATGTGCGGTAAGGATGCGAGGGCCTTGCAGGGCCACGTCAGAGTTTTTCAAACGAGATTGGCCAGCGAGGGTCGCGAAGGATGGGCCGAAGGGGCAAGGCTGCAAGGGTAACCTTGGGAGGGTTGCCCACCCTTACAATGCGGGTTGACTGTAAGAGGGGCCAGTAAGGGGCCAAAAAACGCCCCCACTTGCGCCGCAGCAGTGGCCCCACGGTTGGCGGCTGCCAGGCTCCGGCGGAGCGAGGCCGACTGAGAACTCCCACTTAGGCTGCCGATGTCCTCCAAGATGGCCCCTATGAGGGTTCTCGAGGCCCCCAGGAGGGCCACAAGAGAGCTCCGGAGGCTCCCAAAAATATCACCAAAGGGCTGCACTCTGAGAGGGCTACAACCGGCTCCTCAGAAACCCTCAGCGAAAGAACAGCGAAGGCCTTCATGGTTGGCTCTTGACTCCTGTCGTCGTCCTCCTCGTCCTCCTTCTTGTCCATGACGTTGTTGTCGTCCCCTTCCTTCCCCATCCTCCTCCTCACTCCTCCTCCACCCACAACCCTTTTTAACATCTTTGCACCTTCCCTCTTCCTCGTCCTCCTCCACTCTCCTCCTCCTCCACCTTCGACTGCAGGGTCAGCAATTCCACTCCAGGGTATTCTCAGGGTGGTCCCGCATTTCAGCTTGACGGCCGACTCGAGTCTCTGTTCCACTGCATGTTCCTACACGTCCCTGATGGGAACTCGCCTGGCGATCGTTTCTGGATGGGCGCTGTTGCAGGGCAACTCGCCTGACAATCGGTTCTGGATGGGCTGGTGGCGCGCCAAGATTGAATCAAACCCGAGCTGCCAGATGTCTGGGCGCACCACTCTCTGCTCCAACCCCCCCGTCTCCTGCTGGTCCAGAGCATGATCATCCTTCTCCTCTGCAGGCTCACCCGTCTCCTCCCCTCTTGGCGGCGGGCACAAGGGGGCAGGGCGAGGGGGCAGGCTTCTGAGAAAGAGGCTGCTTCTTAAAAGGCGCCGGCCTTACATTTATAAAGAAGGCCCGCGCCTTCTGAAAAGCAGGGGTGCTTCTAAGAGACCTTCCCCACTCACCCTACCCCCTTTTACGCGTGGCCGACCATTCCTTCCTCCTTCCTCCATGTTTTCTCGAACCGCGGCGCAGTCGTCGTCGTCGTCGTCGTCGTCGTCGTCGTCGTCGTCGTCGTCGTCGTCGTCGTCGTCGTCGTCGTCGTCGTCGGTGTCGTTTCGTCGTTCTCGTTCGTGTCGTGGCGGTCGCTCGTCTTCGTCGTGTCGCTTCTCCGCCGTCCCTCGCCGTCGTCGCTGTCGCCGTCGCCGGCGGCTGCCGCTCCCCCTTCGGCCTGGACCTCGTGCCCTGGCCGCCTCCCGGGGGGGGGGCCCCAGAGCGGACAAGGACGGAGGGGGCCTCGAGGGGCAGCCTCGCCTGGCGCGCGATGGCACGGCGACCCTCACCACTCGTCGCGCAGCCCCGCCGAGGCTGTGCCCGAAAATCTGCCCGAGGCGTGGCCGCAAACTGCCCGGGCGCGCCCGAGAGGTGACGAGACTGGTGCTCGGAGCCAGGGCGATGTGCAAATAAGGGGCACCGCCTCGGAGTTTCGGGCACACTGCACTCTCGGTCACAACTTCGGGCACGCTCTCGGTCACCGCTTCTTCGGTCACCTACCTTTTCTTGGCGGCGCGCAGGGGGGGGTAGGGGGAGGGGGGAGGGCTTCTTAGAAGGACGGAGGCTGCTTCTTATTAGACGGCGCCGGCCTTACATCTACAGATTCGGCCCGCGCCTTCTAAGAAGCAGGGGTGCTTCTGAGAAGCCCCCCCCCTCACCCCAGCCCCCTCTGCGCGTGACTGACTTTCGGCCGATAGGAACTGGGCCCCATGAACCGGCACGTCCGAGGCGTTCCCGGTGACGCGCCGTCCTCGGGGGGGGAGGAGGAGGAGGAGGAGGAGGAGGAGGAGGAGGAGGTGGAGGAGGAGGAGGAGGAGGTGGAGGAGGAGGAGGAGGAGGAGGAGGAGGAGGAGGAGGAGGAGGAGGAGGAGGAGGAGGGGGAGGAGGTGGAGGAGGAGGTGGAGGAGGAGGAGGAGGCGCCTTCTGTGGCCTGCGCGCGCCGCCAGCGCGGCACGCTGCACCGGAAGCGAGAGTGCCCGCGCGCCGCCACCCGGCGCGCCAGTGTCCGCGCCAACGAGCCCGTTTTTTTTTTTTTTTTTTTTTTTTTTTTTTTTTTTTTTTTTTTTTTTTTTTTTTTTTTTTTTTTTTTTTTTTTTTTTTTTTTTTTTTTTCTGCGCGCGCCACGATGGCGCGCTCCAGCGGCAGAAGGGCAAGCGACACCACCCCATTGACAGCCAGCGGGAGAAGCCAGGGGGGGGGTCTGCCTGGTGGTGCCCCCCCCCCCCTTCCTCGCTCGAGGCGTCTTCTATCCCCACATCGGGGAGGCATCGTGGACCTCCTCGCTGGAGGTGACCTCCCTGGTGGTGGTGGTGGCGTCACTCCTCCTCCTCGCCAAGACCCCCGACGTCGGGATTTTGTTGGCAATGTCGAGTCCCAGAAGGCTGGACCCCCTTCCCTGGGACTGGTTTTGTTCCCGAGCCGTTTCCTGACGGCCCCGAAGCCTGGCGAGGGCCCCCGCAGGCCGGCGAGAATCCAACACCTCCCGCCGTGAGCTCTTCAGACGCGAGGGGGTCTGGGCCGCGAGATCGATCCCGCTGTTTGTTCTGCCTGCGCCGCGTGGGCGTGCTTGAAGTCGGGCGTGTCCCCCTACAGGGGGATTTTCGACGAAAAAAAGAAGATACCCCAAACATGCTCCAACATGGCCAAAAATACTGAAAAAATAGCCCCCCTGACTATTTTGTGATAATTTTTCATATTCCTCCTGTAGAGGGACAGGCCCGACTTAAGGCGCGCTCCGGGGACGGGGACGCCGCGCGAAGGAGGGAAGGCAGAGGCGCGAGCAGGCGCGGCGCGCGCCGAGCCGCGCGGGGGGGGAGGGCTCAGGCGCGCGGGGCCCCGGAGTCCTCAAGGGAGGGGGGACGAGGGCTGCTCCTCCTTCTCCTCCACCTCCTCCTCCTCCTCCCACCTCCTCCTCCTCCTCCTCCTCCTCCTCCCTCCCTCCTCCTCCTCCTCCCTGCTCCTCCTCCTCCTTCTCCTCCTCCTCCTCCTCCTCCTCCATCTTCTCGTCCATCTCCCCTCCTTCTCCTCCTTCTCCTCTCCTATTCCTCTCCTTCTCCTCCTCCTCCTCCTCCTCCTCCTCCTCCTCCTCCCTCCTCCTCCTCCTCCTCCTCCTCCTCCTCCTCCTCCTCCTCCTCCTCCTCCTCCTCCTCCTCCCCCTCCTCGGTCTCCCTCCTCCTCGTCCTCCTGCTCCAAGTCATCCATCTACCCCTCTCCCTCCCGAATGCTATGATGACGACGGAGCATATGACCAGGACATCGACGACGGCGCCGACGCCGACGCCGACGACAATGACGACAACTACGACTAATTACGACGACGACGACGACGACGACGACGACGACGACGACGACGACGGGCGGACCCTGTCGGGCGGGTCGGGCGGGCGGGCCCTGACGGGCACGTCGGGCGGGCGGGCCCGGACAGGCGGGCCGGGGGGCGGACCCGAACGGGCGGCGCGGGCGGGCGGCCCCTGCATCGCTGCCCCGTCGATCCCCTCCGCCCCAAGACGAGACCAAGACTAGGGTCGGGGAGACGTAAGACCCGGGTACGGGAGACTCGGAAATCCCCGACGAGGTCGTCAAAAAATGACGAGGCCGAGCCTGCATTTTGACGAGGCCTCCCGCTGCAGACATCCCACGAAACTCCTCCTCGTCAAAATCCGAGGCGCGGTCGTCAAAAAACGATGGCGAACCCGAGTCCTGGCAAACCCGGGTCTTACGCTCCCCCGATAGGGGGCAACTCCCAGGAGGTATTCGTGAGAACGATGGGGCGCTATTTTGAGTCAGTAGGCCAGGTGGTCCCAGACTGAGCTTCGGATCGCGCCCGATGGAGTCAGATTACGCGGGGCGAGACAGGATTAACCAGGACTATGTCAGATTAGGCTGGTGTTTCAGCCATGGATACACCAGCCAAAATCGAGCTGTCAATCCGTGTTTCATTGAGGCGCAGACCTGGTTCACCCCAGGGGTACCGGCTTCGTGCTGAAATGCTTTGGGCCCCTTTCTCCCGCTTTTGCACTTCCCCTAATCCCCTTGCCTCCTCAGTCCGTCCTCAATCCCTCATATTCCCCGCCTGCCTCCCCCCATATCCTTCCTCTTCCCCCCCATGTCCCATGTCTCCCGCCCTCCACCGGTCCGTCCTCAGTCCACACCCAGCCCGCTTCCACTGCCTTCCTGCTCCCATCCTTTCAAGACCCCCGACATCGTATTTCTTCTTCGCAGCGTCGACCCCCAGAGGTCTGGACCCCTTCCACGGGACCCGCTCTTCATCCTGAACCGTTTCTGCTGGCCCCAAAGGCCCGCTCGAAGCCCCCAGAGGCCGATGATAACGAAAACAACTTCCCGTCGTGCTTCTCACAGCGCGAGGGGGGTCTGCGTCCTTCCCTCCCCCACCATCCCCGGCCAGCTCATCTCCGACCCCTCTTGGGCCGTCTTGGGGCGGTCGTGGGGGCCTCTTGGAGCGTCTTCAACGCAGTGAAAGCCGAAAAGCCGCGTATGCTAAAAATGTACATTTTCCTATAAAAAAAATCAATGATGTTGGCCTCTTGGCGGCCTCTTGGGACGCCTCTTGGGGCTACTTGCCTCCCGCGGGAGAAACAAATCCTCTGGAGAGGACGAGGGGCGAGCACCACGCGAAGCACGCCCTGGGAGAGTCGCGGGGCACCGATGGATATCTGCAGGGGTCATCGGCCCCCATTGGAAGAATGTATGTAACGTGCCACCCACCCTTTGGCCCACCTGGGCGACAAAAGGGAAATATCTTACGCGACATGACTGTACGCGGGCCGCACCGCGGCACGCTGGGCTGGCGACGAAGGCGCTTACGCTCGACCTTACGCGGGCAGCTTACTGCAGACGACCCCGTGTGTTATGTTTGTTTCATTTTTTTTCCGTCCCTCAAGACCTTGGGAAACCAAAAGGTACACATACTACTAAATCAGAGTGAAGGGCTAAACCGAACGGTCATTCACTGCCCCTGGGTGCGTGGCTTAAGTGTGATTCCGCGATGCGGATCTTTGTTGTTGTTGTTGTTGTTGTTGTTGTTGTTGTTGTTGTTGTTGTTGTTGTTGTTGTTGAACATTATTAATTCTAAAGAATAATTATTGTTGGGCCCCCTGGTGCGCGCCCCCCCCGCCGCGCCTAGGCCGCAGCCACGTTTTCATCATTTTCGTGAGGAAGCCTCAGGTAATTCGAGGTGATCAAGATCCGGTTGTTTTGTTGTAATCCGTTTTCCCTTGCAAAAAACACTATAAAATGACATTTCTTGTTCTAATATAATCAAATTTCAAGAATCCCTTGCAAAAAATAAGGTAAAGTGGACATTCGCGCGCGCAAGACGAAATCCTTCCAAAAGCTTAGTGTTCGGAGCGATTTTAACATAAAAACATCAAAAAACCAATGGTTTTTCAACAAAAAAATGTCAAAATCTCATCCCGCGCGCTCTTGCGGATTCGTAGGAAACCCAACACTTTTTAAACATTTCTGTCAAACGGGCTTTTGCGAGCAACTTTTTCGAACTTCTGCGACAACGGTTGCGCACCTGCCAGGGCCATCATCCCTGTCAAATAATACCATGCGGGACACATTCGTTTTTTTGCGGGACATACACCGCCCCGAATAAGTGACCAAGTTCTGTGGGTGTGTACCCCACGCCAGTGTAGTAGCCACGGTCGTCCGCACGCCACGAAGTGAAGTGTCCCAACGTCATAGGGCGGGAAGCTGGGTTTGGGTGGTCGCGAAGAGTCGTTTGGATATTTGGTAGAGCTTGTAATGCCCCCCCACGAAGTGGGGGTATTGCCTGGTGTCGTATGAAAACCCTGGCACTGGGGAGAACACCACGCGTTCGGGTAAAATGATTGTTGTTGTTGTTGTTGTTGGTTATTGGTTGTTGGTTGTTGGTTGTTATTGTCGTCGTCCCACCCGCGACCCGCCCCGCAACCCACCTGCGACCCACCCCGCGACCCACCCGCGACCCTCCCGCCGCCGCGACCCACCCCGCGACCCACTCGCGACCCTCCCGCCGCCGCGACCCACCCAGCGACCACCCGCGACACACCCCGCGACCCACCCGCGACCCACCCGCGACCCACCCCGCGACCCACCCGCGACCCACTCCGCGACCCCTCCGCGACCCACCCGCAACCCACCCGCGACCCACCCCGCGACCCACCCGCGACCCACTCGCGACCCACCCGCGACCCCCCCCGCGACCCCCCGCGACCCACCCGCGACTCACCCGCGACCCACCCCGCGACTCACCCGCGACCCACCGCGACCCACCCGCGACCCACCCGCGACCGATCCCGCGACCCACCCAAAATTTTCGGCGCCTGCGGCGGGTTTCTTTTGCAGTCGTTCCAGGTGGAGAATCTGCGACCAACCCGCGACCCAAACCGCGTTCAATATACAAATCATTTTTTTCTGCGCCTGCGGCGGGCTATTTAAAAATTCCATCCCAGTGGAGGTGGAGAGCCCGCGACCCACCCGAGACCCGAACTCCGTACACTGAACATGTCAAAACTTCGGCGCCTGCGGCGGGCTGTCTTTGAATTCCTTCCAGGTGGAGGTGGAAAGCCCGCGACCCACCGCGATCCAAATTACATTCACTGAACAAACCGAAAAATCTGCGCCTGCGGCGGACTGTTTGTTCAGTCGTTATGGGTGGCCCACCAGCGACCACCCCGCGCTGAACATGTCAGAACACGCAAATCGGCGCCTGCGGCGGGTTTGCTCGCATTGGTTTGGGAAAGCGCCCTCGTGCCATCCCCCCGATCCGGCCCACGTCGACTCTACAACCGTTCATCGTCGCCTGCGACGGGGCTGGAAGACGGGGAGGAAAAGCGAAAGGAGGGAGGAGGAGGGGGAGGAGAGGGAGGACGACGACGGAAAGGAGGGGGGGGATCGGGATGGGGGACGGAGAAGAGGAGGAAGAGGAGGAGGAGGAGGAGGAGGAGGAGGAGGAGGAGGAGGAAGAGGACGAGGAGGGGGAGGAGGAAAAGGAGGAGGATGAGGAGGAAGTGGGGGGAGGAGGGGGCGGGCGACGACGACGACGACGACGACGACGAGGACGACCACGCGGACGAGGAAGAGGAGGAGGAAGAGGAGGAGGAGGAGGAGCAGGAGGAGGAAAAGGAGGAGGCGCCATCGACGGCGAAGGTGAGGGCCACGAGGTCCGCCGGCTCGACGCCCGCATCGCCCGCGCCCGCCCCCTCACTTTTATCCGCATTAATTGCGGGGTGTTACGTACTCCCCGGATCTCTCCCGGGATGAAAAAAATTCGAAGCGAAGCCACCCGTGGCGAGGGTGCCCCCCCCCGGAAAGCCCCCAAAAAGGCGAAGACGACGCGAAGGTCACGGCATCTGCAGTTTTTCTGCGAGAGCGGCACCCGTGCGCTGCACCGAGTCTGGACCCCCTCTCAGGCCCCGCGCCAACGCGGCACATGGTGCGGCAGAGGTTATCGGCCCTGAGGACCGGAAGACCATGCCGCTCGTTGCCTTCGAATTGTTCCTTGACGGTCAAGATGGAACCCAAGGGGGCCCCGGAGGCCGAAGGTTATAACATCTGCGAATGTCGGTCGACGCGAGGGGGTGTGAATTCGATCTTCGAATTTCATCCCTCCCTCGCATGATTCCGACGGCGGGATCCCACATGATGATACGTTTAGTTTGCCGCTCGAAGTGCTCTTGTCGCCATGGCGGAGGCTTTCTATCGGCATACGTTTCGCTTGCCCCTCCTCATCGTCATCTTCGCCCTCTGTTTCCTCGTCCTTTTCGCCTCCCCTCCTCCTCCTCCTCCTCCTCCTCCGATTGTCCTCCTCCTCCAAGTCCCTATTTTCCTCCATCTC